ATTTTTGTACTTGAGAAGCAGAGGCTCGCATGTTTCGAAGCTTATTGTTTATGTGAGTTCTGGAACACATGGAATCATAGATATTTACATTTTAGATGAATTATATACGTGTAATTTATTAATAAATTTGTAAATTAATAATTAATTAATAAATTATATAAATACAAAGAATTTGCAATTTGTGGATTAAATCCTGTGGATGGATATCATTGAATCTAATTAACAGAAAATCATTTAGAAAATAATCAAGCTCAGGAATAAATAAAAACTAAGATTTCTGATCATGATCTTTTCTTTACAATTAAAATGATACAGAAAAGTTGTTTGCATTATTTAGATCGTACCATTTATATGTATATAATACGAAGAAATGGACTAATTTGGAAGACTAATAAATTAAAAATGAATGACAAATAGATGACAATAAAGGTGACAGCAGGTATATTTAATAATTATGAAATATTACAAGATATTGGAAACCTTGTTGAATTGATCTTGAATTAAGTTGTACAACTTTATGGGAGAGAACCGGTTTTCTCTGAATCCGGAAGAAACATATGTCGAACAAATGTTCCCGGATAATTCACGGATGCTCCGCCAGTTCTCATAAATATCGACAAGATCGCGGTTTCCGACACGAAGTTTCTGCATCCGCATTTCTATATGACACGCGTAAGTTGATTCGCGAGACAAATGTGCAACGAATTTGGTTTGTCACAATTTTCAGAATATTGCCATATTTTAGAAATAAAGAAATCAAAACAATATTGCAGAACTAATAAAAAATTATATCGAGATCTTGTATTTTTTTTAACATATTTTATCTCTCAAATATTGTTTAAACAGACCTTTTATTGTAATATATCATTAAGCTATTATAGTGAATTGAAATAAGAGATTAAATTGATAAGTATTATTATATTTGATTCATAGTAATTAATATCACCTCATTGTTGCTACATAAGTATTTCTGAAAATTATAACTTTTTGTATTCACAAGAATATATAACATTATCTAACATTAAAGACGATAAAGAACATCAGTTATTTCGTTTTTTATTAATATGCACATTCTATAGTTAATCTAATGGACCAACTACTGCCTCATTATGTACTTTATAGCCGCGTCGTAAGCTACTATTAATGTGTCATGAATGGAATTCCATAGATAAAATTTTTCAGAAATAAATTAATACACATGTTCTTTAAACACAAATCTCTTATCATATTTAATTAATTGATTTTTTTTTAATATTAATGTAATAACATCAGATTTAGTTATTTAATTATAATAAAAAATGATAGTTTTTTTATAAGTAGAAAATGTTCACATAATGTCATCATGACAGTCGTTTTTAATATTCTTTAATTTTTATTAAGGCATAAATTGTAAAACGTTGCCAAAAATGACAAATACATTTACTTAGCACAAAATTGCTTAAAATTTTTTAATCGATCGATTTATTAATGTAAATTTGAATACTTTATTAACAAGACATATTTAAAAGCTATAAATAAAAACTGAAATTTAGGAGAAGCAAAAAGAGAGATCCGGATATTAATATTAATGCATATTAATGTATATTATTCTAATGCATATTACAATGAACGAGAATCATATCGAATGCAAGTTCGAGCACTTAACATCGCCTAACTTCCTTTAATGACTTTCTTTCTTGTACGAAGTAAAAGTAGCGAAAGACGTTGCGCGTGTCTGGTCCCGCTTTTGCACAATCTTCTTATTCAAATCACCCAGCCGATTTCGCATTCCGAAAGTGCCTCACGGAGAGCCATCGCTTTATTATCTCGCAAGTTGATCCTTCTGACCCGCCTACGCCTTCTATGTAATTTTCACAAGTCGTTTCTATTTCTTGCGGTGATTACAACATCGAGTGACATAATCAAAGTGCGAAGATTGTCACATTTTTTACGCGTGGGAATAATCCATTCTTCTATAATTGGATATAGCGCCATGTGCGTTTTTTAATACATATATGTATATTATATAATATGTACATAAATATTTTTACGTAATTTGCAATCTTGGGTATCGAGATGTATTAATAAAAAGATGTATAAAAAATAGAAAAAAATATAATCTTCAATAGCTTTTGTTGTTAATAATACACCGAAGAATTTTTAAAACAAAATATCCGAAGCGATATTTAAACACACGATAAATTTCAAATTCTGAAAATATATGGTCTGAATATGTGTAATAATTCTGAATATATGATCTTTAAATTCTTATCATATTGACATGTCGAAGCCGACTTATTTCATTTTATCTCTTTACGTCATAATTTTGCTAACGATATTTATGTCATTTTAAATCATATCAATATTATAAAGCTGATCTATTACAAGTTAAATTATCTCTTTATATCGTAAAAAGGCTTCACAAAAATTTAATTATTACCGCTTTACATTATCGGTAAAAGATTTAAAATATATTAAATTATATTTAATATACATGCACAAAAGAATACACTAAAATAATGTTATTTTACTTAATATTAATATATGTATATTAATATATACAATATATGTATATTAATATATGTATATTAACATATATATATATATATATATATATATATATATTGTAATATACATATATTGTATATATGTATATTAATGAAAATTTTATATTGACAAAATTTATAATATAAAAGCAGAGATAAATAAATTAACTAAATTCTTTTGAAATATCAATTATAAAACTGGAAACAAGTTATAAACCTTTTAACTTTATATATTATTATTTAAATTTATGCTTCTTAATTATTGCTAATTATAAATTATTTTTTAATTAATGCGAAGAAGCATATAATTAAACTCAATATTTTAAATAATCACAAAGTCAACTTGTAAAAAAATTTCTTTTTAAACAATTTACAAACATTTTATGAACATAAAAACATATTATATAATATTATTATATAAAAAGTTAAGCAATTAAAAGTAAAATTAATTTATTTGTAATTTGCTTTTTAAAATACAGTTTTTAAATATATATTGTAGAAATATAAATTTGTTTAAGAAATAAATAAAATTAATGCAATTATTACACACATACATATATATTTTTATTGGTTTACCGATGGAGAGTGAACAAGAGATGAAACATTTCATTTATTAAGAGTTCTCCAACAGATGACGCCATTTCAAAGGATTCTCAGTGGCACATTTATTGAATTTTTGAAGCCGCTAACAAAAATCAATAATCCATCTAGTATAAAGAAGAGATAAATAAAAGATTAATATATCAAATAATATACTTGTGTATAATCTATCTATATCAACTTCAATTTTTTAAAACAATATAACATCCATTATTACGTAAATCTATCTGCATTTTGCAGTTTCTTTTTTTAACAAAAATATTGTAAAAAATTACAATACTTATTGTATATTTATTTTTACAAATTTATATCTTTATATGCGTATATCTTTGTAATAATTTATTTATTTATAATAAATTTCTATGAGATTTATTTGACATTACTATTAAACAAATATTTTTTATAGTAGTATTATGACAACATTCTTTCCAAAATAAATTAACAAAATTGTTGTTGGAGTGACAAATATGCTTTATGTAGTCTGGTTCATAATCGTGATACCAACAGCTGCGGTGTCCGAGTGGTTAAGGAGTTGGACTCGAAATCCAATGGGCTTTGCCCGCACAGGTTCGAATCCTGTCCGCAGCGAATATTTTTTTTACTGCCTTATGCAATAATAATTTTTATGGAACTGATATTAATACATTATAATATAATTTTGCTATGTATCGCCAATATTTTTTATTAATATCGCTTTTATCGTTTCCTATCATCGGAATTGTCATATGGCTAGTTGCCTCATACATTATACGTTTAATGTAAATTAGAAGTATTTTTATTTTTTAGTCAAAATTCTAAAATATTTTTTTAATACGTCAAAAACTTTCTCTTAAAATTTACCCTGAAAATCAGGATAATCGTGGGCCAATATGGTATTAAAAGAGTTTTATAAAAGTTTCTCTAATTAATATTCATCACAATAAGAAATATAAATATATATGTACATAGTAAAATTAATCGAACAGATTTTATATTTTATTGTGGCAAATATTAATAAATATTAATCAGAGAAACTTATAAAATTCTTTCAATACCATATTGTCCCACGATTACCATAATTTTCAGAGTAAAAATTCTCTCTGTGTACATAATTGTAAAAATATAAATCTATCGTAAAATAAAAATTGAAAAATTTTAAAAAGACACTTTAAAATATATATAATAAATCCATATTTATATGAGGAACAATGTGCAAACATAAATTAATAATATTCACCCTACGTGAGACTAGATCGTTTGGTTCGCGTATCTATAAGAAAGAAAAAAAGGACTCTTGAATATGTAAAATTAATCGAACAGATTTTATATTTTATATTGTGGCAAATATTAATAAATATTAATCAGAGAAACTTATAAAATTCTTTCAATACCATATTGTCCCATGATTACCATAATTTTCAGAGTGAAAATTTTTTCTGTGTACATAATTGTAAAAATATAAATCTATCGTAAAACAAAAATTGAAAAAATTTTAAAAACTTTAAAATATATATAATAAATCCATATTTATATATGAGAAACAATGTGCAAACATAAATTAATAATATTCACCCTACGTGAGACTAGATTGTTTGGTTCGCGTATCTATAAGAAAGAGGACTCTTACATACGTCAAAAAATGTGAAAAAAAAAAAAAAAAAAACGTTTGCCTATTCTATCCCGGATATGAAGGGTTATCGTGAGATCGTCCGCTGCTTAGTCACCGTTGACGGGAACAGAATTCTGTGACGCGTTTACTCGAAGAGGAGACACGACTAGCGCGCATTGGTTCCGTCGTGATCAAGACGCTATCTCAATTGACCTACGGCCCCACTACCCTGTCCCTCCCTTGGTTCGCCGCTTCGTTATCTGCCTCTGTGTAGACTGACCCTCACGATCTTCTTTCACTTGGCTTCGAACCACCATCCGACGAAGATGATCCGAAACGGCGCGCTCTTCCTGATCCTGGCCCTGTCCACGGTCTACGCGGAAATTGTACAGTGGACGCCATGTCCTAACTGTGAGTATTTCTCCTTTACGTAAATCACGATTTCTTAATTATTAAACAGAGGAGAGCTCGTAATAGCGTTGGAAAAGTATAAGCTTGTGTCTTGTTTAGCATAATACCGTCAACGACCCTTGATCGCGCAACTGACGTCGTGCAATTAACAAGTCGCAATTACAAAGTCGGGGAAAAATATGGGGATTCAATCCTTCAGTGGGTCACAATTGATTGCGTGTTTTTTTATCGTTTTTGGAGCGACGAACTCTTATTTAACGCGATTATCATGTATCGGATGTAGATACAGGCGCGTGAATAAATCGGGGATATCTAAAACTATAAAAATAGGACTCTCCGCGACTTTTATTCATGCATTTTTATTTCCAGCTTCGATACACCTATCGTATATGTATTTCGGGGATGAGGTTATTTACGAGTCTGATGCATTGCCACCGTGAAGTATTCTTTTTATCGATTTCCATGTATGTGTATTGTTTGTATCAAATTTTTATTCGGATATTTTCTCTTTCGAGAATGCAATACACATTCCAAAAATTACTTCTTATTCCAGATAAGAATTTTAATCAAGCTAAGCTAAGAAAACTAAAAATCTGTATAAACTTATTGTTATTTTAAAAGAAATTGAATTTTGAAAATTGTAACTTTTTAATAATATTAATATAATAACATTATTTGCAAATATTATTTTGAAAGCTGTTTTTTAATATTTAAATATATTTCTGAAGAAGTTAGATGTATACGTATATAATTGATTTAATTAAATTATAAATTTGATTGTATTTTGTAAAACTGAAATAAATAAGAGGTTTTTATATGAAAGTGTGGCAACACGAAATTTTTTAATAGCCGCGTTAATAAATAAATTATTGTTAGATTGTGATTTAGAAATTGCTTTATTTATATTAGAAATAACTAAATTATTGCAGCATAAGTTTGAACAATAAACGACCTATAAGTATGTGATTGGCAAGCAAAAGAAAAAACGAAGATTGAAGTACAATAATATCCTTTTTATGCAAACAAAAGAGAAATGATTAGACTGAAATAGCATCGCCTCAATTTCAGTCTTTTTTTCTCACTTATTAGTTATAAAAAGAAATATTACAATAAAATATACTTGCATTTAAAGTTTTTTAACATAATTTTTATTAAAGAAAATATCAATTTTATTAAAGAGAAAAAATTTTTTTATATTTTTTATATTACTTTTTATAAAATGTTTTTAATTCCATAAAAATAAATTTTGAATATTGTTTGTTATATTGAAATAATAAAAAATATATAATCAATTTAATAGAGACAATAAAATATATACTGGAAAATTGAAGATTTATTAAACATTTTATTAAACCTGTTACAAATATGCTATTCAGATCAACTGAATTAAATTGAAATGTTGAGTAATATATTCGTATATCGTTGTATTTAATTCAAAGATAACACATAGTATTGGCATGATAATGAAATAATGTCTGATTGAAAGTTGCAGAAAGTAGAACGTAGGAATGCATTTAATGATAAAATAATCTGCTAAAAAACATTATCACTGTAGAAATAAAAAGTTTAAATGAATCTCATAACAAAGCTAAAAGCTTAAACGAAATTCCTCCGAGATAAGTGTGCTTGATAAAAACGAGAATTATTGTAGATGAAAACAAGTGGCGAAGACATGAATATATTGTTTGTAGAGCACAGATAAACTTTTAACTTTCCGGATAAAATAGTTTGAAGAAAAATCTGCTAAATCAATGAAACGAAACTTTGACATAGATAGAGATGACATGTTGGCTGAGATCTAATTTAATACATTTTCTGTGTATTCGCCGAATATTTGTGAGTTTTTTTTTTGCGTATTGTAATTTATAAACCGAGTTAAGCCCGGAAAATAAACTAAATTGTCGATACGCTATCTAAAACAAGAAAAAAAATCAAAATGTAAAAATCATTTTGCTTTATTTAAACTTCAATAAAAATTTCTCTAGATTACAGTTTTGAAATAATTTGCCCCGATCCGTAAAAAGTTGTGCTATCGATAATACATGCTATTCTATTTATATTTTTTTTACAATTTACGTGCTTATCTCATTAATTTTAATACGAAAGAGAAATGACGTCATATGAATTATATCAAGATGCATAATAATAACTTAAAAATATAATATCAGCTTCACTCAAAAATAAATACAATACTTAATACAAAATAAATATAATATTCGATTTATACATGTTACACAAATAAAGTTATATCATACATATTGTTTCCTTATAAAAATATTAAAGTAAATTTTATAAATAACTTAGAAATGGAATATCTTATAAACACAGAAAAACAGTATCCTTGAAAGAATGCAAATATGCCTTGATTCAAGTATATTTTATTCTTATAATAGTGCCAAATATAAATAATTTTGGATAAAGGATAATTTATTCTTAAAACAAAGTGCAAAATATTCTTGGTTGAAACTGAAATTTACTTATAAATATTGCAAGGACAAGTGACAAGTGAGCATTGGATATAAGCGGTACTTTCAAGTATATATAATAATTCTAATAGTTCAAATGTGACTAAGTTTGTTTTTATTATATGCGATTTTTAAAACAAGAATATATCTTAAGAATAAAATATACTTCACACAAACTTATTTATTATTAACGGAAATAAAAATTTGTGATTACAAAGAGCATTCTATGCTTAAATCAATCAAATAGCGTTCAAGAATAAAAATATATTTGAATCAAGGATTCCTTTTTTTCTGTGAAAGAATCTATTCTTAATTAATATTTTTAATATATCTTAATATTCTTAATGCCTCCTGTTGTTATATAAATGGGCAACAAATAAAATATTAGAATCTCGAAAGACATACATACTTTAAATGAATTCTCTATGAAATTTTATCACTTAATGTTTCAGCTGAAAATAGCGATTCAGTTTGTACTATACACGAAGTACGTGTAGATCCATGCAGGGAAGCTGCAGAAAGAAAGCCATGTGCTTTAAAAAAAGGTCACAATGCAAGCATAAGTTTTGACTATACCACCGGTAAGTATAATCCAAGTTTTTTTATATGTTTTATTCGTATATTAAAAATCAATATAGTTCTTATATTTCACATGACAACTTTTATGAATTAATACTTCAAAATATAGCAAAATTTTTTATAGAAAAAAAATAATTTATATAAACTTTAGATGATGTTCTTAATTCTTTACTTTATCTTTAAAGATACTTTTTGCTGTAAATTAAAACATATTAAGCTTAATATTCAAGATATATAAGATGTATAAATATATACATATATATTTTATTTTAGAATTCAGTAGTGACACGTTGAAGAGCAGAGCATTTTGGGCTTCGGAAATCGTTGATTTACCATTTTTGGGCATGCCACTTGATGCTTGTTTATCCACTGCTTGTCCAGCTATACCTTCTCAAAAGCAAACATACACAGTGCAATTGCCGATCTCTAAAAAATTCCCTGCGGTAAATAATTTTTCAATTTTATTGTAACTATTCGCTATTTTATCTCATATTACATTTATATATATAAATAATATATATATATATATATATATATGTGTACACACACACATAAATAATTATATATATAAATAATTATGGATATTGTTTTATAATATATATGTACTTGTTTATTACAGAGCTGTCTTTTTTTTTAATTTTATTTTACTCTATAATATTTTTATGTATATTATAAATATGATTTATATGAATGTTGATCACATAATTTCTTACTTTGCTATTAATTCAAATTATTAAAGTTTAATATTGAAATGACAAAATAATTAGGAATATAAAAACTTGAATGTAATTTGAGATGTAGAAAAATAGCGTGCAATGTATAAATATTATTTACCGAAAAGAAAATATAAATCTTAAAGTGTTATGCGAAAAATATTTTTATTACAGCGAACGTATAATCTCAAATGGAAACTATGGAACTCAGAAGACCAAGAATGCTGTTTTATGTTCCAAATTAAATTGGTGAAGTAAAGTTGTTGTTCTTAAAAATCTATGTGTCATCTTTCGCAATGATTATAATTCGCCGATCAATAATTTAATGAAATAAACGATATATCCATATTAATAATGCGCTCTTTCATTATATTTGTCTTTATACTATGTCAAATATGATAAATCCTTATCATGATACAATTATTAATAAAAAAACTTTATAAAAAAAAATGTCATTATTATTTATATAATTCTTAACCAGTGATTCGCAAAATGTTTCAGAGAGATGACAATAAAAATTGCACGATAGTTTCTGTTTGACTTAACTATTCTTCACTCATCTCTTTTAATTCTTTTAAAATATTAAAGAATCTTCCATTTAGAAAGGAAAGAATTCAACTTATATAATATTCATGAAATTATATATTCGATCGATTTTTTGAAGAAGAAAGAAATCTATATGTACAATATTTGATTTCTGCAGTCTTTAATCTAGGCATTTGTAATTTTAATAATTCGGATTATATATATTGTAGATAATCAAATTAGAAAACTCCCAAGTACTGAGTAGTTTAAATACCTCGGATTTGTCAAGTCCATATGTGATTGTGAGTCCTTGAGGAACTATAAAATTATTTTTGTCAGAATCGTGTTTTTATATATCTTTTACATATTTTAAAATATACGATCTAGAAATATAAAATGGATTGTTTACACATTCTTTATCAACAGTATTTAAATTATAATATAATCATCGATTAAAATATATTAAAAAAATATTTATTTTTTAATGTGACTTAATTATTTATAACAGTTATTCATGAATAGCTTTATCACAAAATAACATTGTGTAACTCGTTATAATAACTGAAAGAAAAAGAATGAATATCTTTATTCTGCGTATTTAAAAGTAAATCCATTTTTATACCAGTTAAGCCGTCACTTGGTTTCTAAATGTTTCAAGCGGAAAGTGTCCATATTTGAAATGTCACTCTATATGTTTCTAGATGTAAATTGATCGCACCAATTTTAATCTTATAACACGAAATTATTTATCTACAGAAATCGATCAACATTTTATATGATTATAAAAAACCGTTCTTATCTATGAAAATTGCTAAAAATATATAACATATTTAAAAAAAAAATATATATATATACATATGTATATGTATACATAATTGATATTTTCAATATATATATATATTATTTTACTTACATATAAATAATTTTTGTACATTTATTATAAAAAAATCAATTGATCAAAAATATGATTATTTTATTATATATATATTATATATATATATATATATATTTAAATTTTCATTTATTAACATAATAGTTATTATAAATTTATCCATACACTGATATACGTACATATCACAACTATTTGCAAAGTTATGAAGCAACATCATATTGTGAGCATGTGGTGACTCGGCCTACATGCAACGTATTCTTGATAACTGAAAGATAAACAAAATATAAGAGTTCGACGATCGTTCGTTCAGTCACACACGTTGACACATTACTACAGGATGCAAAGGCACAACGTGGCGCGGTCTCAGATGGCCAATCAAAGACGAGCCCGCTAGAAAATAATTGGCCACAATTGTTAAATTGTGCATTTCCTGATAAAAGTGGCCGGAAGACGGTCCCGCCGTCGATTCTGTCGAAATTTACAATACGTAATCGGCGACATGCGAGTTTATTCATATCGCAATCTCTTTTTAGGCCACTTTGAATTCAATTGCTTCGATTTTTTCTCGATATTTTAGAAAAAAATATGGGTCAAGCCTTTCTATACGCTAAATATACTATATATAATGAAAACGTTATTTACTATATAATGATCAATTGAATTTGCCGATCAAATAATTGTTTTTGTCAAATTCTATTAGTCTAATAGAAAGTCTTTCATCATTCTGATGTTTATTTTAGTCACTGGACGTAGATGAATAGAAGAAGGGAAAGGCATATCAGTCTTATTTATCTCTACATTGTTACATCCATAATGTACAACGATAATTATATTCTCCTTGCTTATCTTACACGCAGACCGCATTAGACGAACAGCTGGGCGATGGACTAAAATAGATTATATTAGTAGCACCAAAGACAAGATCAATATTTTTTTCTTTTATTTTCTTCGTTTAATTATAAAATAATAATTCCAATAAAGTACTGATGGTTAATAATTTATTATAAATTTCTTGGAAGCCTTTAACTTTCTAAGAAAGCTACACAACTTTATTTTATGTTTATTTATTCTTGCGAGAATTAATATTTAAAATGAAAAAAAAAATATTTAAAATTGGCTTTCTCAATTTATATTTGCTTATAACGATCAATGAAGATTTTAATCATCCACGTAGACATATTTACTCGCAGTAAAACAAGAGATATCTTTAAAGCTCTACTAAAACGCATTATCATCCATTTTCGTATTTCCGTCGTGTTGCGGACGCAGGCATTAGGCAGAAATTAACGTGGCAATTAGCGGCAATCATCGTCGGACGCGCATGCAATTTCTCGATAATTAAAAAGCCTAGTGCCATGCACTTTTCATTACAAGATTGATCGAGGATAACTGTAAGCAAAAATCATTATCGTCCGGAGAACGATTACCGGCGCGACTTGTCGCGACGCGGCCCGAGGTCAGAGGCTATAATAACAGATCACTTTGGCCGACCGACCCGTTCACAACTGTTACGTTGTAACAGTTAATGCGCAATTATTCAATTGAACAAGACGGTTGATTTACGAAGCAACTGGCCGCGGCAGAAAGTTCAGAAAACGTCACGAAGAAGCCACGAATTTTCGTCGACGAATAAAAAAAAGCGGCTTCACCTGGGAAATTTAATACTTCGATGAAAGTTTGACAGTTGCGATATATAAATATACATTTTGACAGATATATTTTAAATGCGTTCTAAAAATGTCAAATCATAAATGCTTATATATATATTTTTTTTAATATAAATTTAATATTTGGAGGAGCTTAAGATATTATTTCTCACATTTTTTTCAATTTCAACATTGACAATTTAAGGATTAAATTAATTCTAGAATTAATAAATTTTAAATAAATTTTATTGTAAGCTAAATTTCAAATGTTGTCAATTTTTTTATTAGAATTAACTTTAGAAACTCTAAACGAGAAGTAATGTTTTGCATAATAATTATTATTATTTTCAATAAAAGTGAGGATTAAAAAACTATTAATGACTCGTTATTGTTAAAATGTATATCAAATCTAAATGAAAGAATAATGTTATATTCATACTTTCTATTTATTCTGGGAAATCTCCAGTTATTACGTTATTAAAGCGGCTTTGCAAGTGGCTTAACGTCATGCCTCTACATTTTAAAATGAAAATTTATCAACATGTTTTATTAATCCTAAAAAATTGTATCTATAATCAGCATGTTTTATAAATGCTGAAGAGGTTTATCTGCAATAGTTTATTAAATACAAGATTTAACAACATAATAATAATGTCAATAATTATATTAATAATAATAATAATACAAATATTAAAAATAAAAATAATAATATTAATAATAATAATAATAATAATAATAATATTAATACAATAATAATAATAATAATAATAATAATAGAATAATAGAAACATTTATAGAACTAATTAACTGTACAATAGTTAATATGTCGACAGAGAACAAAGTGGAACTCGAGATACATAGCACCAGCTAGAAACTTAAAAAACTTGCTCGTTTCATAACATATTCTTAAAATATCAATCAGAATTAATCACTGAAAATGAAATGCATACAATGAAATTTCTGAACGATGCATAGTTAATATATACTTTGCCGATTAATTAATTCTACACATCTAGAGTTCATGTATTTCTCGAATGAGAGAATACAAAGCGCTATTGCTCGAGTATCAAAATGTGGCGTGTCTTCTCGTGACTCCATGTGACTCAATCACAAGCAGCGATTATCGTTGTCGTTGTCGTCGCGACAAGGGAACAGGTATCGATTCTTTGGTATCGACATTACACGGCGCATGCTGCCATGCGACCAAAATTTAAGATAACACAAAGCGAGCACAGGAATATATAGAAAAAGCATTACTATTTCACGCCATTAAGCATATCCGATTGTTTTATATAAGTGGTCCATATTCCAGGGAAAACGAACATAAATATATATTGCGAATGAATTTATTCCGATAATATACTAATCGACAGATACGAATGTTTTCAACGACATAACAGACTCAGAAGTCCTGTAATAAAATCTCTCGATTGTCTCATTTTTATTAATCTTACTTTTTTATACTTTTTGTATATAGTGTGTTTCCAAAATTTAGCGAAAAACAACGCATAGCGTTATTTTCAAAAAAATTAGGAATCAATTTTTTCCTCAGCGCTACAATCGAACAAAAATATCAATGTTTCGAGACATATTCGGCATTATATCGGTGCAAAATAAAAATATTACAATCAAATATGTGGATTGTTTTGCAATGAAAAATCTTGTATGTATATATATCCTACCTCGACGACGTCTCTTTGGCAAACATACCTTTGTGATTTATTGTTCCCAGGGTGCATTTTCTCGAGCCTAATCGCCGAGATTTATCAGCGCCACGAATTATCGCCCACGGTCGAGTCGCATCATCGGCATTCAGTCCATACGCATAATCTAAATCTACATAGTAATCTTATCATCTCTAACGAACGACCTGGGAGGGTGGAACAGTCAAGGTTCTCGCGAGCCAGGTCATCATTTCTCTACACGTTTCTCCGTAGGATAAATACAGGTCTAACAATAAATCTCTCTTAGAACTAGAAAGAAGGTCGTACTGATAATAGAAGCATTTACATTTTTAGTGGCCTTCAAAACCACCAAATCGTAGTCCTTTATCTGAAGCTACGCTCCTCAAGCCTTCTATTTTTGCTATATTATTTGCACATTCAGTTATCATTTTTTTCGATATAATTGAAAAAATTTGCACGAGTACTCGATATTAATTTTCTCTTTTAATCTTGAGTCTTTATTTTATTTTTAAACTTGTGTTTTTGCTTTCATCGTAAACAAATTGTTTTGCAATATTCGAAGAAAGACGTTATCACTTTGATGAAGTGCGTAATATTTTAAAATATTTTGATTACGATGAGATATCTATAAATCGAGAGAATATATAGATCATTAGAAATTAACTATAGACATAAATATTCAACGCATATTTTTAAATATTTCTTGGAAAATATTGTGTAAATGTTATTGATACTGTAAAGATTAGATGTTATTTATAATCAGTAAATAATGTAAATTTTAAAAAAATTTCTTAGATATTTTAATTTTTCGTAGTTGCAATCTTTTTTATATAATATGAAAATGTAAAAAAATTGTATTTAATATATTATTCAATATTTTCAAACTAAAACAGAAACGCCTTTTGATCGAACTGCTATTTCACAAACTGTCTAAATGCGCGGATTAATTTCTTCCTTCTGTAATTAATTAACAGTGATGCGAATTTACCGCAGAATGAATCTGTTAAACACATTGTGAGAGAAATAATTGCGTATTTCAATGAACGTTTCAATGATTGTACAAGAAAGAGAGGACAAACCTTTCGGCGTTTTCGAGCTCGAGGACATCTTTTGAGGAATGCCTTGATACGTTCGTCATCAAAGGAATCAAGGGAAAGGAATTCCGTGCTGTGTTCTTCATTCTCCTCTACAGATTCAGATCTTTTTTTCTCTAATTTCTCCTTTCCCCTTGCGCCGTGAAATGTTTGCGCTTTTCGAAAGATTCATACTACGTAAATCGGATCTTTGCACACCGAAATCCTCGCTTCTTGAAGGATTCTCAACCTTGGACCCAGGGGAACTCCCATTTTCTGCAGCCTGTCCTCGCTCAGATAAGGCAACTCCACCATCCCGACTTTTTCTTTTTCGAAAGCAGCCGCGTATTTCTTCAAAAGATATCGTAATTATTATTCACTTATACGCGCTCCGTAATTCATAACATAGCCGGCAAGAAGTTGATCCTTCATGAAAAAACAAGTCGAAATTGCGGAATGAAATTTTGTTAAAAGCCTTCGTTTTTTGAGAAAATCGACTTTAAATATTAGTCGAGTACTCGTGCACTTGATTAAGACACGAAGAGTAAATATTGATTTCCGTATCGAGATCCGCTCAACAGCGTTTTATTAGGTCTGGTTTTTTTAGTTGAACTGGCTGCACTAGTTCAAAGTTTATCTTTTTTCATCCAAATTTTTACTTCAAATTGGAAATAAAAAGATAAACTCTGAACTGGAACAGCCAATTCAGCTAATAAGAAGACCTCTTATTAGTCAAGTGCATGCGTACTTAATTTAGGTGTATGCGTACTTTATTTATTAAAAACAAAGTCTCGTGTGACAACACTTTATTTTGCAATTTTGACTTATTTTTTTCATGAAGAATCAGTCTCTTGCCGGCTGTATCATAAATTACAAACCACTCTATATTATTCTTTCAATCAAGAAATAATATAAGATTTCTTCTCAAATAGCTTACATTATTCAAAAATATAAATGCATCGATAATTTAAAAAAATAAACATATATTTTTGTCTAAAAAAATTTTTTTACGTTTCAAAAATTATCAAACTTTTTTCCAAAATAATAACATTCTTACCTCATACCCAAGTTCCCTCAGAAATAATCTGATAAGAGGAGGCTCCGTCCCGAAGAACTTGGTCAGCTTCTTCACCCTCGACGGATTGGAAAGTGCCGGCAGTTCCGAATCCTTGATCAGGGGTTGTGACTGTGACCTGACCATCGCCATGCTCGTTTGCGTTCTGAGAGTCGCAATCTCGCATTTTATGCTCTCCATTTCCTGCGAAAACCTGGTAGTAGTAGAGTCTTGGAAATTCCAGCTCGTTTCGCACTGTAATTTTTTTTAACAGTTCTCTCACCTGTATCATCAGATGCTGAGTCCTCATCTCTGAACTCAAGTGCGCCACCGATCTTGCCAATGTCACCACATGCGATTCCAGTCGCTGAAAACGCTTGTTGATGCTCTGCAAGTTATTTTACAGAGATTTGTTAATGGCATAAAATGACGTCTATAAGCCATAAAACATATTTAATAATATGGTACTTTCCAAATTTTACATTTCAAAGGTTTGACAAAAGAGATCTTTTATGTGCGGATAAAAAGAGAGAAGAGAAATATATATCCATTAACTTCGCTAACCTTGATGTCTTTGGCTTTCTTCATTCTGTCATCAATCACGTGGGATCTACGTTTGTCGTGATGCCTCGTGACAGGTCTGGATGACACGGACGATGTTGGCAACGACGAAACGGAACCATAACTAGTAAGTCCTCTCGCCTTCCGTCTCTTTTTCACGCTTCCGCCGAGTAATTTAAGTACCTGCGACAGTTTTTTCGCATGCAAATTGAGATAAATTCAATTACGCTGGTGCCATGAGCACTTTCAGCGGTGCAATGTCCCTGTTAATTTTAGTACGTAGTCCCATTTTACCAGGACTATAGAAAAAGTGACATGTCTAATAGTTTTACATTTAAATTTGCATACGCAATATACTTTGCGTCTTGCTGCTATATATTATATTGATTTTTCAGAGAAGTAAAATAATTAAATATATAATAACATATTTATATTATTAATAATGTAATGAAAAAAGAGAGAAAGAAGAATAGAAAGTTTCATTTTATATTTAAAACATATATAAGAACAAAACATTTTTATGCCCAAGAAATATATAGAAAGCGATGTAATTTTGTTTTAATTTTATATAACACACTTACTTCGCTGTACATATTTTCTAATCCTTCCAATTGTTTCCTGATCGTTCTTGCGTCGGTAGTACTGAGATCAGAGTCGCTCCTGTCCAACATGGAATCTAAATCAAGTCCTGTCGTGGTGGATGTTAAATCAGCGGCTTCTACTCCGAAAACTAAAAGAAAAAACATTTATATAAATTAATTCAAAAAAAATCAAGACTAAAAAACTTATTAATCATTGTAATTAAATATGATTTAGAAATTAATCAAGTATAGAAAATGAACACAATCTTAATAATAAAAAAAGAAATTTAAGTTTAATGTTATAAATTTTTTAAAAATATCACGTTAATGAAAAAGTAAATTTAAAAAAAATATTTTTTTAAAGCGATCAAGTACTTACGATGAGAAAACTTTTTCGCAGCTTCCTTCTTGGATGACGAAGCACCGCGATGTTTTGTGTTGCTCGAGAAGCCTCTCTTTTCCATAGCCTTGCTATAATCGCTGTAATTTGGTTTCGATCCATACGGTAAACTAAAATTTCCACAAAGACTCTCTTATAATATAGTGTTAGCAAGCATTAAGCCTTTGCGTTGGAAGCAGCATTAAAATGTTAAGTTCGAGATCAAAGAATAAAAAGCCAGAGAAGTAGATTGTTTCATGTTTAAACAATGAAAAATTATTATATAAAATTAATTGATTAGAAACGTTAACACAAAAGTAGTGATTTGTTTATTATCTACATTTTAACGAGCATAGTTAAAATATATTGTAACATGTATTTAATTGCATGTTATAATTATTATATAATAAAGCAATAATAATTAATAGAGAGGAATTGAAAAATTCGAAGTAAAATTGTTCTTTATATCAGGATAATTAAATAACGAAAGATTTATGTGTTTTGCTGAATGAATATCTCCCACAAGTGTCGTGACTGAGAATTTAAAGCTGCAACGGGGGTTTATTTTTAACATCGTGGAGGCAATTTTTCGGCCAGACAGCGATATTGGAATTTCGATTTGCCGGGTAGGTAACAAAATCGGAAGTGGTTCTGGGCGGTGACCGGAAGTAACACCGGTTATGCGAAGAAGAGGGACCTTGTTTGAAGTCGGGTTACCTCGTTGAGTATCGATTTCTCGGCGTACGTGGGCTGTCATGGGGTGACAACGGCGGTAGAGGTGGTGTCACTGAGGATACACTTTCGGACAAGGTAGAGTGCGCCATCGCCGGAACGTCTCTCGGCTCCAAAATACTCCTCAACTCAGACTCCACTATGTCGACCCATTCGGAGTCTTGTACTATTAAAGAGAAACGAGAAGATAGAAACCACGTACTCTCGATAGACTGACGAGCGATCGATACTTCGAAACAAAACTTTGCAAAACTTTACACAAGAGACAGATGCAGATGATTCAATAATTGAGAATATAGGAAACTACAAATATATAGAAAAATTAAGATCATAATTTATAATTATTTTTATAACGTTATGTAAATAGACAAAGTAATTTATTATGAGATTTCTTTTTTAGAAAATCTAATAATTTATCACTTTTATATTTCTGTAATAACAAATTTTTTTTATGTAAAACACAATTATTTTTATTAATTAAAATTTTTTAAACGCTAAAGTAATGTAATGAAAAAAGATTAAAATGAATTTCTCTTAAACACAAGAAATACAACATTTTTAAAAAGATGTAGCAAAACATTTGTTTTAAATAGTTTATTACGATATTTGTCATATCAAGGTAATTTGTTAGATTGAATATCGATCTGTTATTACGTTTTATAAAAAAATAAAAAATATATAACATATAGAAAAATAACTAACAATCGAAAAAATGATAAAAAACATGAAATACATGATTCAGAAAGAAATATTATAATTGAAATTGAAATCGATGCTTACCCTGTGCCAGAGTTTGATCGTCGGGCGGCGGACGTCTGCCGCTTGAATAAATTGCGGAGCCTCTTCCGGAATCGACATTCGAGGAACTCTGACCGGCCTTGTCGTAATCCGAGCCCGAGCCCTGATTCTGGATCTTCAGCCGGCCAATACCTTGCTCGAGGTCGTCTTTCCTGCTATCTGATTTCACTACGGTCTCTTTTCCGGCGTATTGCCCGCCCTCGAGCCTCTTCGACGCTTCACCGATCATTTTTGTGGCCAGGCCGACTCTCAAACCATCCGCGTCGCCGGCGGGTTTGGAATTAAAATGACCCTCCTGCTCCGCTCTTTTCTGCAACTCCTCGATCCTCTTTTGCACGGAGTTGCCCTCCACCGTGTTTTGCCCTACCTCTTGAGCTCCCGACGAGCCTTGCTCTTGTTCCTTCTTCGAGGTCCGCGTTTCATCTCGCCGAATACCGAAGCTAGTCTCCGGACGATACTCCTCGTTCCTTTGTGATCCATTTCTTCCTGCCGTTTCCTGACTTCGATCCTCCACTGTAATTTCGTATCTAAAAAAAAAATCAAACAATTAATTTTATTTTTACTCTTTAATATATTATAGAAGAGAAATATCAATTTTGCAAAATATCACTACGTCTAAAAAAATCTCTCTAATCATCCTCAAGCCCTACCTCTCCTTGTCTAACGCGTCCACGAGATTCTTCATGTTCTCCACGGGGTTCTTCGCCGCTTCAGCGTTTCGTTCGTCCTCGTAGCAGAGCTGCGGCTGCGAGGCTGCCTTCTCGATCCCCTTGGCGGAGTTCCGCCTCTGGAACTCCGTTTCCTGAGTGCTCTCGGCCTTCATGTACACCTGGGGAACGCCGTATCGAGGTCTACCCTGGGCGTAATGATAGTACACCTCCTGGCCCGAGACACGAAGTTCCTGGGCCTGTCTGGACGTGCTCGGAAGATCGATCTGCGATCTCGACATGGCCTGCCTGGCCTGCTGATATTGTTGATAGGAAACGCTATTGGCGAAGTAGGACTGCTGCACGTTTCGCGCGCCCGCAGTTTGCGAATTTGGCTGCCCGGCCATTTGTTGCTGATGCATCTGCTGGATCAGCTGACGCTGATGCAGGTTCTGAGCGTGTTGCTGCGCGAATCGCGGACTCTGGTGATGATTTTGATTCTGATGGAGCAACTGCTGGGGACTCTGGAAGCTCTGACTCGTCGGCGGAATCGCGTTACCCACTTGATGCTGCTGCACGGATAGACCGTGCAGTTTTTGCGTGCCTTGCCCCTGAAGCAACCGACCGAATCGTTAATAATGATTTACCGTTAAGTAATGAGTGCCTGCTTGCCTCGCGTAGAATTGCAACATATCAGAGCTCTCTACCTTGGCTAGAATTTAATTATAGCATAAGTGTAATGAGTTTTCAAAGTTTTTCTATTGTACTATATAGCGGCGAAAAATATGAAAAGAGGAGAACGTTATGAATGATATACCGCATTGCTTCCTTGTTGATTTACTATTCCGTTACTTAGCAGTGTTGCACAGCGTTCATTATCATTACTACGATCGTTATTTAACAAATTAAAATGTTGGCACGCGATTAAGCAAGTGTCAATCATTGTATACAGCGAACGGAACGTTTCCGCGAGACTTGTCACGCAATATTATGTTATGTCAAATTTCAAATATCGCATCGCATGATCTAATATTTCCACGTGCGATCGCTCTTGTTATAAAAGACGGTTGGTGAATGTCTACGTTATTACGTCATTTGAATTTATATGAAGAAAACCATGTGACAAGCCGCGAGGCATTTATTTTTCTGTCAGATAAGATATGTCAGCATTATGCGACAATTATCGAAACACTGCGATATATATGTCATTGAAAAATCAATCTTTTTATAATAACTTTATAAATCAATTTTATTACATAAATTTTCATTAATTTTTTATTTAAAAAATTGTTTCTTAGAAATTAAATTTTGAGCGAGAACAGAGAGAAGAAAAATATTAATATAAAAACTAATAACTTTATATAAATAGCACTCAACATGAAAAGAATATCTTGAGTAATATGAAATTTTTTTAAAGAGAAATGTTTGCCATGTTTTAAAGAAGATATTTAAAAGATAAAGTTATTTTTAAAAAATCAATTTTTGTGAAAAATAATATTGAGTTCAATTAATTTCATAAAACAGCAATTAACAAATAATATATTATACTCTAAATTATTATTATATTCTGACATCTCATAATGTGAATTTTATTCATTTAAAGAGCAAAGTAATTTCTATTTTTAAAAGAGCTTCTTTTTCATTCATTACATTACAGTTTTAAAAATTCTTTTACTCCAGACAGATTCTTTCCTCCAAGAAGTAACATAAAATATTCAGCTTTCTCTCCGTCTTGAGAATCTTTAATATCAAATTTTCATTCTATTTTATTTGTCTCTAACTTGCATTGAAGTTAGACGCCATGAATATTTTTGATCTCAATCTTAAAAAATGTACCTGTCCTTGCGCGGGACTCTGATGAATTCCCTGGTGCATTTGCTGGCCGGTCATGCCGCCTGGTGCCTGAACCATGTATTCTCTCGTAACATTCTGCACCTGCTGCGCACCTGTCGCGGTTTGGCCGAAAGCGGAGACTTGGGTTTGATGAACCGTTTGAACTCCTCCTGGTGGAGTGTGATGGGTCACGTGGAGCTGAGCGCTCTGGCCCGGTAAATTCGGCTGAATGGTCGTGGTCGGTTGTAGCTGGCCTGGCAAAGGTACGTTTTGCTGGTTGCTTTGATAGACGTACGAGTGACCGTACTGGCCTGAGTGACGGGAGAAAGTTCCGATATTATTTTTATTCATTATATTATTATGAGAAAAAAATACATTCTAGCATCAACCATATAATTGACGCACGATACCGAATAATAAAAATATTATTTTTCTCGTTTGACTACTATCCAGAAAACTTGTAATTTATATAGTGAATCGAGATAATTATATGATTTGTTAAATTTGCATATGTGATGAAAATAGTACATGCTACGTATAAATGATTTCAGCAGATATTTCAACTACCCATGGAATTGAAGTAAAGATAACATGTTGCATCATAAGACGTGTAACTCGTTCTAAACGCCATCGGGAATGTTAAAATGTATGAATATGCAAAATGCTACTAAAGTTAATTAAAAGGAAAGTTTCTCCTCCATTTCCAGTCAACGTTTGAAACGCACATTTCATGAACAAGTTATTATTATGATTATAGCAATTGCGACAGCACACAGAAAAGTTTAGATGCTAAAAGGCACAAGTATGTAATTTCAACGAAATTCGAGATATTAAGAGAAAATTTCTCATGAAAGCGATCAAAGCCGGAAAATAAATTTAGTTTAATGTTTAATAAGTCAGATAAATTCGTACGGCTGGATTTCAACAACGTTCTCGAAAACGCGTATTAAATATAAATTTATCTTTTATCAATATGCTTATTTTTTTTCTCTCTGTTTCTATAATGCCTTTAAAATTCCGGTATTTTAGTCGACAGTCAGAGATTGATGAATCATTAATTTTACATTTGAAATATAAGAGTCTAATATTCACCTATATCGACCGCTAATTTCAAATCGAGCAAACGATTAGAGAGATATTACTTCCGTATTAAAGTCATAATAGATCGCGAAATAATAGCAACGATATTGCGCACACGACTCTCGTCTTCGTAAGCTGTGACTTTAGAAGTTTGCACAATGAACGAATATAACTGCGCGAAAACGAAGAAAGTCTTTGAGTCGCGTGCACGGTAACCTGTGAATGACAAGCTGTGAGTTATGAGCGGTAGAAAATAAGTTCACTTATTAAATAAAAATCACAGTTATGTAGTTTCAATACAATATAGTCTATACACATCAATCATCCAGTTACGGGAGAAAATCTTACGTTGGAAATCATTGTTTAAAGCTACGATTGAAATTCGCAGCTTATTTTTAATTCATATAAATAATTAAAAATAATATATACATTCTAAACTTTTGTATAATAGAAAGTTAATTAATGCTACTTAATATAATCAAAGCAATGAATAAATAATAAAAGCATTTCTCTCGCAAGAACCAACTTACGTGATATTAATCACTAATTGCGCCTATTATAATTATCAAGTTCGCTTGTGCGTTTCAAGGAGCTGGAGAAAAAAAAAGCCGTTATTATGCGCGCACGCTATGCACTTTGCTGACTGCTTTGCATTTAGAAAACTCGAGATTCCGTCATTTAACGTTACGCTCAACAAGGCTCTTTCCTCAGATTAATTCATCAACATTAATGAGCTTTAATTAACGGGCGCCTTGCGGTAAGCATCGCGCCTTAACGCGTCTAATGATTTAACGCGGCATCTCACTCGGCCACGTTCGACTTACCGTAAGCATTTTTCGTATATTGCTGCACGTTAACCGAGGGCTCCTGCGCGCGAGGCTTCCCGTAAATACCCTCCTTCTTCCTGGCCTCGTCATCGTCGATGCTCCTGCTCGACTTTCGCAGCTCCTCCGTCACGTTGTTCAGGCTGGCTTCCGCCTCCGGCTCGACGTCCTTACGACTCGGTCCGAAACGGCTCGAGATCATGTCCTTGATTGTGTGGTAGGTCCTGGACAGGGACTTTGTCTTCTCCTCGTCGATCTTCGTCGTCCTTGGCACCGCTCCGGACGTCGATCTGATAGGAAAACAATCGGAAGTTTCATTTCTCGAGGGCATTAACGCGGCATCATCGGATAATGCTGATCGTCCGCCTACGATTGCACGCGAAAAATTATTTATTTTATTTTATAATACTTAGCATCGATTGTATCAGATGCACTGGAAAACATTTATTGAATTCGAATAAATATTGATTTCAATACTGCCTAATAAATAATTTATTCGAAACCAATAATATTGATTTGATGTGAAAAATATTTATTTGGTATAAGAAAATCTCGAGGGCATTAACGTGGGCATCATCAGATAATACTGATCGTTCGCCTACGATTGCACGCGAAAAATTATTTATTTTATTTTACTCATAGCATCGATTACATCAGCAATAGATGCATCGAAAAAAATTTTATTGAATTCGAATAAATATTTATTTCAATATTGCCTAATAAATCATTTATTTGAAACCAATAATATTGATTTGATGTGAAAAATATTTGATATAAGAAAATCGTTTTTAAAACAGATAAATATTTATTTGTTTCCAATAAATGATTTATAAGGCAGTATTGAAATAAATATTTATTAATTTAATCCTTTTTAAAATAAAAATAAAAATAAAACAATTAATAATTTTTTTCCAGTGTGCAAGATCCGATACATAGATATATATCCGAGATACAAATTTTTCTAGAGAAAGATCTAAATAATTTATGCAAGCGTGAAATGAACGGAAGATAATTACGAGTAGGTGTCCTGTGACTGATAATTCCTCGCTTGACCGTCCTGTTTCACTTCCTGCATTTGAGTTCCCTGCAAAAAGAAAAGTGAACACGCGTCGTTAATGATAGACACACATTGTTAATAAAATATTCTATATACATATATGGACGTGTAAATTATGGAGCGTGTTTATAATGTCTATATAAATCCGTTAACTTTGCAGCCAGCGCGGTTTCATTAGACGCGTCTAATTAAGTCGTCTTAACGATGAATACGTAATTACGGATCGGCAGCGACAAGAACGCAATAGCGTATCTCGAAGTAGCGCTTCGACAAAACTTCCCTTCCGATTAGAAACGATCTAAACGGCAAGGAGATGAAATCCAATTAAAGTTAAATAACTTGCCCGTCCGTTGTTAACGAGCTGATATATTAATTAAATTATTCGCTACTCGTGAGCGCACATTAATTTGTCGACACGCGTACGTTCATATAATTACGAACTTTGTTACACGCGTATTAGTGTTAGAGGAGGAAGGTTGTTTACGCAGTTTGAACGCGACAAAAAGTAACTGGATGCATGTAAAACTTTTTACAATAGACAAATTAAAATATACCTACAGCGCTTTATGGCCTAAAAAAGATACTGTATACATATTAAAAGTAGTAGTGCTAAACAAGTAAGCGCACTGAAAACAATTTATTGAATTCGAATAAATATTTATTGCAATATTGTCTAATAAATTATTTATTGGAAATTATAATAATATTGATTTGATGTGAAAAATATTTATTTTATACGAGAAAATCCTCTTCAATATTTATTTGTTTCAAATAAAAGATTTATTAATTTAATAATTTTTTTTTCAGTGCACGCGGCAATTAAACTTTTACTTGTGATAGGAATTTTTGAACTATCGGTTTAAGGACGATTCTCTTTAATAATTCCGCGCGCGATTCCTCAGAGATGGTTCGAACAAACAATTCATGGCTTCGAAATGACGTGCACTATGACACAAGTATTAGTATAGTATCGTATAAAGTCATCCAACTTTCAACGAGCGGAGAACTCATCTAAAGTTTGCTTCTAAAACATACTTTCACGTGCCGAGAATCGTATAATAAAACCTTCAGAGGGAGAAATTCAGTGAAATAAGCCCTCGCGATTTTAATGTTCATAGTTCTGGCCCAACTGCCGGGAAATTATACCAAGTCAAACTTCCGCAGATACGTAATTTCACGGACAAACAAGAATTTAACCGCTACGTTGTGCACATAGAAGAGATTCGTAGTTCAAACGGAATCGTCGTTGAGGGCGATTTGCGAAATCCATCTTTTCTCTCAAAGAGAATGTCGAACGAATAATGTTTCGGTAAACCGCGCGCTTTTGCGGCGAGAGGAGAATTAAGCTGAGTATTCTGCGAAAATATATCGTTATTCGACTGAAGCGAAGGTAGGTATAATAAATGTGTAAGCTGTTATTAACATTTTTTTTATTGTACTATTGCTGTCATTTTATTCGCAAAATCTATTTAATCTATAGTAATTTAATCTATAATATAAAAACATATTTATAGCAATCAAAGAATTTAAAAAATTATAAAGAAAAATATGATGCGTGCACATTAACAGAAAGATTTGTAGTAAATAAACTGAGAAATCCAATTATTTCAATCAATTATCGTAAATTTGTTATTATAGATACTTAGAAATCCCGTGATTAAATTAACATTCGCGACATTCCTGGCGTACGAAATTATAGAGACTTTATAACACAATTACGAGAAATAATTCTATTTGGTCGTCGCTCGTAAAACATATAATATGTTACCGAAGAGGCTCGAAAAAGCGATTCCCTGCACAGAACGGAATTGCCATCCGAACGGCTAACAGCCGGACCGTCGGCCACACGGGGAATTTCAAAGTTAACGCACTGAATCCTACAGTTCTCGGGAAGAGATGCGCCTGGAATAACAACAGCTCGCGTATAGGGCCCCGCGGACACGCATCTCGCATACGGGAAAGCCCTCTCTGACTTATGGCCACGCTGATACCGTGCCGGGATTACGAGTCGCACGAGAAATAAAAACCGAGCTTCGTACCCGGGGCGCTACGCTCGGAAAAATCATGAAAAAAATCAACTCTCGATGACGCGCGTTCAAACGCTTTTATATGCGAAAAAAGTGCCTCCGTATCTAAACTCGGAAAAATAAAAAGAGATGAGTGAGTACACTGAAAACAAATTTATTGAATTCGAATAAATATTTATTTCGATATACTGCCCAATAAATTATTTATTCGAAACTAATAACATTGATATAATGTGAAAAATATTTATTTGACATAAGAAAAAGCTTTTCCATCAAAAAAATAATATTTGAGAGCCAGACGCGATAATCGGTGCATAAATTCCTCTTTCTTTTCACATATTATTTGAAGATAATATTTGAAAAGAACAAATAATTTGCGCACCTATAAAGCCTGGCTCTTAATTAACTCGCTCTTTCTATTTGTTTTATATTCGGTATCAGAGACTTCATCTCTGAAAATCCTTTTGCATTCAAAGGAAATATGGATTGTTTATTATCTCTCCATCGTTCTCTATATATACCATTAAAAAAGATAGTATTTTTAGAAACTTGAAACTCTCTCTTTGCATATTTCGGAACATTATATAAGGCACATTCATAGAAATGCTGCTCGAAAGTTATTTTTGAAAGTTGAGATAAAAGATGGAAAATAAAAAATCTAAAATTTCATAATACTTTGCAAATGCTTTCTTTCACACGTTTCTTCTTCGGGCGAACTCTTCAATTCGTCGCATTTTCACACGTCGGAGAAACTTCCTCCGGCAAAACTGTAGTTCGAAGGCGGACGACCATATGTGATGTTAAAAAGAGAAAACAAGGTTGAAAGCTACAGCATCGGCTTTCACGAAAGTAGGAAAAAAAATTTGCTTACGGAACGCTCGAAGTTAGCGACGCATCTAAAGACCCTGAGAGCGTTGGAAAATAGGTTTACGAGCTACATAAACCGTCTTCTGTCCTCTATCAACGCTCAAATCACGATGCTGATTAAGTGTCTTCTCGCACGATAATATGTATTATGTAAAGTAGCTTTAAGTAATTCGAAAGGCAACGAAAGTTGGCCATTCTGCACGCCGAAGCGTATCGAGCCTCGTAGGCCTCATATATATTCGAAATAGCGAAGAGGTTTTCTTTATGTGTTCGCGCGATATTTGTATCGCAATTTACGGCAATCCGGAAACTCCTTCCGCGTCTTCAACAAATGTGACAGCAACATTTGCCGATGCTTCAAGGATGTGAAACAATCACTTATAATAGATTATAGACATTTCTCGACATGTGGGACGATCACGATATTTTTATTAATTTATACACTGGAAAAAAATGATTAACTTGACTAAACCTTTCAACTAAATATTATTTTGTTAATCGAACATATGAAAATATTTAAATTAAATATAATATATTAAATCTAACACACAAAACGTATATTTGACTTATAATATATGTTCAAATAACAAAATAGTAATTTAGATGAAAGATTTAGCCAAGTTAACAAATTTTTTTCTTCAAGTGTATAATTTAGCAACATTGTGAAAATTAGAATCTTAAGAACGCTGATAACTATTGTTTAGAATATTTTTTTATTTTAACAATGTGAAAATGAGCAAAAAGATGCGTACAAAATTATACGAGAAATATGGAAATTTCTTTTATAAAAATTGTGTATAACAATTTCCACGTATGTAGAAAAATTGAATTTCTATATGATAATATTTGTATCTAAAAAAATCAAAAATCTCTCTATTATTTTACAATATTACACAAAATATTCGAATGTTCTCCATCTATCTCCTTTTTATCCGAAATTCTCCTAATATATTAAAACGTTTATAAACATCAAGGAAATTTATTTTTAAATATTTATGTAATATCTACTCTTTTGCGTGTAAAATAAAAGTTAAAGATTTTAATATTTCTAAAAATAAAAATTTTGTAAAGCATTAAAAATATTAACCAATCAATGCAGATGATTTGCGGATTATTTTGATATTAACATATCGGGGTATATAAGTACATAAATTATTTTAATAAAAGAGCCTTTAAAATGCCTCTTGCGAAAGAATAAGAGATCGAAAAAAAGTGAAATCGCTATAATACACGCGCGCAGTTATACACGCATGATGTAAAACTTGAGAATAACAAGCAGAAAATAAAAGAATAAATAAATTTTTTTCACACGGGGAGATCCCGGGAAGATTTTGTAACAAAGTCGACTAATCAATCGCGCGGCAAACACAAGCGTTATCGAGCGAGAGTATGTATATTTATTGCGCACACACACACAGTGCGGACGCAAGCCACATCAGTTTCAGAACTGATCGCCCGGAGCATTTCGTAAACGGTTTACCATAAGATCAATGGAATGCCCAATGGGGTCTTCAAGGACAGACAACTGCCCAGTTTATTCTACGCGCAATTTCGTAAAGCCACGATGAGCTGATTCGCAGTGTACTTACAGTATATTATCACAGGCGTAATACAGTTAAGGTCTTGCTTTGATGACGCATGCAAATGCATCGATATATAGTACACACAACTCCCCTGTTTTTATGTTATTAAAGCAAATTTCATTTAGCGAGAGTGATCCAGAGGGATGTAATTTGTATCCCAGCAACATAATCACGGATAATTCGTTTCTAATTAAAAAATAACAATCTTTAACTTGAAAGTATTAAATTAAAAATGGTTTTCTTTTTAATTAAATTTATTAATTTCTATCGCATTATGCGCCTTATATTTTGCTAATATTAATGAAAAAAGTAATATTAAATATTAAAAATTCAAAAGTAAAATGATTAAGAAATAATATATATAAGTATAAAAATAATACAAAAGAGGTAAAACCGAGAAAAAGACATAATCACGAGAATCGGCTATTCCGATTATTCGTAAAAAATGAATAAAAGAGCATATATAATTTTTATCACATATTATGCACAGTATATTTCGCTAATATTAATGAAAAAAGTAATATTATAAATTTCAAAAGTATTAAAATATTAAAAGGTAAAATGATTAAGAAATAAATATATGTAATGTAAAAAATAAACAAAAGAGAAAAGACCGGAAAAAGACATAATCACGAGAATCGGCTATTCCGATTATTCGTAAAAAATGAATAAAAGAGCATATATAATTTTTATCACATATTATGCACAGTATATTTCGCTAATATTAATGAAAAAAGTAATATTATAAATTTCAAAAGTATTAAAATATTAAAAGGTAAAATGATTAAGAAATAAATATATGTAATATAAAAAATAAACAAAAGAGAAAAGACCGGAAAAAGACATAATCACGAGAATCGGCTATTCCGATCATTTATAAAAATGAATGAAAGAGCATATATATCACCTTTTGATCGGGCATTAATTTCCACATCTGTCTTCTGAGATATCAATTCGAAACCCGGAGAGAAAAATATATTACTGATGCCTACTGACAGTGGTATACGTGGATGGCACGTGTAAATAACGCAACATATATACGTGACACTCGATTAATCGTAGGATTTCGTAACAATCGTTCAATGACAATGGAACCATTGTCAAAGTGGGACGGAAAATCTGTCATTCTGGCTACCGACGGAAGTATAACACGGAATAGATGAGATTCAACATTAATCAAACTTCGATGAATATGACATTCATTAAACTATTGAGCTTTTTGAATCTTGACTATGATTTATTGTCAAAAAAAAAATTTTAAAAACAGACGCGAAGAAATCAATATGATTTATATTCATCCTTTTCTCTCCCACTACAGAATTATCGGGAAAATCAAACAGACTTACCTCTTGAACCCAGGCCTGTTGCTTAATCGGCGCATCCGGCGCGATAGCGACTCTTCCGGTGGTCCTCTGTTTGTACTCGTGAAGAATAGGGATCTTGGAATTCTTGTCTCCCGATGAGAGGACCAACTCGCGTTCTATCTACGATCAAAAAGAGACAATGATTATTGTTTGTCTGAAACAATCTTCTTTCTCGATTATATTTAGAAATCACTTGGAAGATTTTCTTATAAATGTTTATTCAGTGATGGTCATCAAATGGTCAATTAAAATAAAATATTTCACAGTTTCGAGAAACTTAAATTAATATAATATTATATCACTATTACTAATCGTTTCGCGAGTTTTTATACTAAAAATTTTATACAGTTTTTAATTTATAATTCTTTCAATAAATTCCAATAAAATTACTTCTTTACTCAATATAGAGTATAATCTAATATTAAAGAGCACATATTATGTCATTATTAATTAATACGCTACATTTTTATCTACACATATATTTCTATTTATACATAATTCTTATCTTTAATGTTTAATTTTTTCTTCCACACTGATTTTCTGAAACTCGTCTTTAGGAATAATCGACGCATAAAGGCAAATTAATCCGCTAATAAACTTCCTTTCTTAGCTTGCGCGCAGCAGAGCGTGCTCGCTGCAAGGCGTTGTATGCACCTAGGTAAACAGAGCAAAAACAAACGGACGATGTATAGTGTGGTATATATACGAGTAACCCGAGTAGTAGACGGTCATCGGCGTCGAGAGATTTTCCGAGGCTTTTCCCGGTCGCAGGCAGGTGATGCATCCATTGCATCCCCGACGTCGATGCGAGTTCGCACGCACGGCACGATGATACGCAAAGTGCGTGCACAGAACCGGGCTCTCGGCGGCGACATGCGTGTTCGTTGCGTGTACGTAATAACGCGCCGCGTGGAGTAGGTGTCACTGAACCAAACTGGCTGCAACATCGTCGTAACTTCAAGCATCGCGCTCGGAAGAAGAAAGCAAGCGTGATGAAACGAGCTACCGCCGCGGAAAATAAATGCATGCACGTAGGCAGGCAGGCAGGCGAACCCCGTGCAACGTAATCACGTTTGCGGATATAACTATACGGGGTTTGTATGGAGTTGTTGCGGACGAGAACTTCCTCGATTCCTCCGTCCAGTCGCACTCTTAACGCGCGGAAAATATTTTTTTTTTTTATCAACGATTAATTAGAAATAAATCTATACACAGTAAAAAAAATTGTGTTAAATTTAACACATTTCACATGTCCCAATTTATCCACTCTAATTTTAATGTTAATTTAACAGAAAACAATTATGTAATTAAATAACACACGTAATATGTGAAAAAATAACACAAAAAAATATAATATAAGCAAAAATTCGTACATTTTTATTTAATTGTGTTGTTTTAACACTTAAAAATAGTGAATATTAACTCAACAGACAAATGTCAAAATAACATAACGACAATATGTTATATTAACATAAGAGTATGTTAAAATTTTAACACAAAAATTTCTACACAAGATAATTTCAACAGAAATACGAAATGTTTTTTACCGTGTACATGATACGTGATTTTGACACGGACAGAATTTTCTCTTGGAATTTACCCTGAAAATTATGGTCATCGTGGGACAATATGGGATTTTTTGGAAGAATTTTTTATAAGAGTTTCTCTGATTAATATTAGCATATAACAAAAAATATTAATATGTACACAGTAAAATGAATCAAACATATTTTATATCTTGTGGTAAATATTAATATTTTTATTGTGATAAATATTAATCACAGAGAAACTCTTATAAAATTCTTCAATTCCATATTGTCCAACGATTTTCAGTGTAAATTCTAAAAAAAAGTTCTCTCTGTGTAAAGTTCGACGTTTTTAGACGTTTGGCTAGATCTGTGAGGAATCGAAAAAACTAAGAAATGATCACTGCAGTTTCTGAATATTAATTTACTGATGTAACATAAAGAACAATAACGCGATAATATTTAATGTTAAATCTTCAGCGGATGAAAGGGGCAAAGAGAGAAAAAGAGAGAATTTATTGAAAACTTTGAGAATGTATAGCACAACTGTGCATTATTTTTCTCTAACAAATCGATCTCGATGAAACTGATGGCACAGAAGTAATATAAGACTGTTAGAAAACAATCATGTCTATGTTGTATTCTCCTTTTTTACACGACAACCGTACATTGCTCTCTTTGCCTGCTCTCTTTCCTGGAAGTAATCAAATAACTGCATATTGCTCTTTTTTGGAAAAAGCATGATAGTTACATCAATAGTTCCCTTAGAGTAGCTGCACGGACAAAATATGATGTCATACATCGACGCTCGCAACATATGCACGGCGGTATATTGCATCATAAAGCTGGATTATGAAAAGTTTTGTGAGACCGAGAGAGAAGGAAAGAGTGGAAGAGAGAAAAAGAGAGAACATTGTTTTGCGGAAGAAATAAAGCGTGTTAATAAAGAAATGGCGTCACGAGAACGCGTGTTACGCGATGCGTCGTGGCGTAAGCTCGCGAATAAAAATACCGATCGATTCATCCCCTTCCGAGGATAATAAAACGCGGTAGAAACACCCCGGACAGAATGCCCGTGCATCACTGATATTGAATTCTCTTCTAACTACGGCTGTTATTCTTCGTACTTGAGACACATTGATAGAGGATATAGTCCCTTAAGTGCGAGGGTGAGTCCTTTTAGTGGTAATAATTTCTAACACGGGGAGATAATATATTATGATCGCATTATTCTTAAATGAAAATCATTCTTATTTTTTAATTGATCTAAAATTGATTTTTTTTTTAAATAAAATATCATTTTTTTTCATGATTTGCAAGTTAGAATGAAAATATCAGAGTGATTTCATCCTTTCAGAATTTCAATTTTCAATAATAGATTATATCGAAATTTTATCTAAGCTCATCTATCTCAGATACAGAAATACGCCCGATAATTATTTGATTTTATCAATTCATTAGGTAGTATTATCCGCGTTTCAATTGAGTTCTCGTTAAAAAATCAAAAAGCAATGATCCAAATGCAAAATGAGAGGATATAATCACTCTTTCTTCGTCAAAGGAGAATTAATCCGCGGAGAGTCCATCCTTCGTGTTACACGATAATTAAAACGCCATAGGACGATCGATCGCGCATGACAACGTTCAAGAGAAAAGGGTTAATTAACGCTGATTCGCGGTCGGATATTCGTTTCTGAGCAATCAGCGTGATGGGCCGCGACGCTTTAATAATTTTACTCTTCGATCGAAAGCTACATAACACATGCAGTTGTATGTGTACGTGTGCGTGCGTATACAGGGTGTATCTAAATAAATCCGAAAAATTTTAGATAATTCTTTATCAAAAATTAAGAGGGGTTTCTTATATAAACATTTAGATATTAAAGAGAGAAGTAAAAATTAAGTTTTTATTTTTTTTCTCAAATTTTAGACAAATTAAAAATAAAATTTGATGGATATTTTGGTGGATATTTATTAATATTTTTTGATCTTCCGGTATCGTTATAAGAGACTGAACTAACAACCCCTATTTAATTTAAATTGTTTCTTTTTTGAGTATATGTTTATATAAAAATCCCCTGAATTTTATCTAAAAAAAATCATCTAAAATGTTTCGCACTTATTTAGATACACCCCGTATATGTATGTGATGTCATGCAAAGCAACGGCCGCGCGTATGAAAAATTGGGGATGAAAGGCACTGGCTGACGTGCGGAGGACCGAAGGATCGGCAGAAGACGTTGATTGTCCCGATTTATTTCTCACCTGCGGTCGTGCCGATCCGTGCGGAGAAATGTGTAAACGACTATCGCGAACGAAGCTCCCCTTCACGACTTCCGGCCAACGGTACGCGCGTATGATGCCCCCTTTGTCTTGGTGAAGAACCTCTGAGAATCTTCCCAAGAACGTAACTACTAGCGTACAACGAACTGTTACCGAAGATTTCTCCGAGGATTAATTCTTAACGTCGAACGCGGAAGATCAGACCCGTGCCATTCGCGTTATCTGCGCGATTACGTCCGCTAATTAGGTAAGTACAATTGGCTAATGTCAGACGACGAAAATCACGAGATAAGCATAGCCACAATGAGTCGACGCACAATTGTCTCGATATATAAACAATGGGGAAAATTAGAAATTGAAAAGCTAATAAAGGGAATATCACGCTGATAATTCTAATGATCGAAATAAATGCAGAGCTTTAATATTAGCAATTAGTTCTACCCTCGTTTGTCGAGGTAACACGCTGTGTTAGTCTCGTATTATTCCCTTTATACATTGGTGGATATAATTTATTTCTATTAATTGACAATGATAAATTTTAATCAAAAATATTATAATTAGAATAATGTAATTAAATTGCTATAATTTATTATTATCGGATTTTTAAGTGCCATTAGTTAATATTCATTAATAAATTAATTTATAAAGAAATTAAATATAATTTCCACTTGTTGAATTGATAAAAACATGAATATTCATCTGAACATGAATTTCTTTTTACAAAAAATCTATTATATAAATTTTAACGATTCATGTAAATGGAATTTTTACTGCGACACATTATCATTTTTCACAATTTTCTCATGACATTATAATTGATTTGATTGTGTCCAAGAAACTCATGTCAGTATAATTCTAGAAAATGTGACCACTTATACCGAATAAAGTTATGCTCTGAATTCTTTGCTCTTCTTATCGCGCTTAACTTAAATAAAAAGACGCATCCAAGCATAAACGTGGAATTTTCTTTTTCAGAGAGAATTGTGTGTGCCAACACACACACAGTCGCGTCATCGCTTCATTAAAAATCGAATCTCGATAACTGCACAAAATCATCAACGAAAAATCGTGACTCTTTCTTCCTCTCTCTCTCTCTCTCTCTCTAACTCTTTTCCTCTCTCTCTCTTTATCGATGTTTTTAAATTAATAATCGTCCAATCAAAAGCGCATGTGATTGCAGCTATAAATAACATTCGAAGGAAAGAAAGTCTAATTCTTGCTAGAATTTATGAGATATCTTAGAATCTGCAACTTTCGTTGCAATAATATGTATTAAGAGAAATTTTTTTAACAAGAAGTTTGAAGAAAAATATAATGTTTGAGTCAAAATTGATTCAATTATTTTATGAAATATTTAATATTTTATTAGTATTATATGATTATATTTTTTATAATTTTGTAATAAATTATTATAACATTACAAAATAGAAAGTAATTCTAAATTAACCAAAGAATGTGCTCTTGAATTTTTACAGCTTTTTCGTTCATTACTTTCGTACAGTCAGCGCAAACACGTATATCGTGGTTGCATGTGGAATTAATGCATTCGGCTTGTTAATTAGTTCGTTTATTTAGCATGTACGAACGACACTATAATTCAAGCCTTGCAAAACCAGCGAATGCTTTAAAACGTCGTCTCAAGAAACGATATACATTCATTTTTTTATTGTTTCTTATTTTTATCGTTATTATTATTTTAAATCAATATATATATTATATATTATAATATAAAATATTAATTCCAATCTACAATTATAAATATCATACACAATAATTTTTTAAAAGACGTTTTGTTTTCTCAACGCACAAGAAAATATATATTTCTGCAATAATTATGGCTCTGTCAGTTTTTTCAAAAATTCAGCAAGATACAAGAAGATTGCGACGAATAGAGAAAAAGATGATTAAAATGCAGATATGACAAAAAACTGAAGAAGGACGCATTTGATCGAAAATGGAAATTTACTCGGGACAAGAAGGGATTTAGAGCCATCACTGGCTGCATTATGCGCCACGGCGCGTCATTATTTTTTTGTCCCATTGTTCCTGGTACATACGGAACGACATGAAGCGAACAAGGTGTTGCGCGCTGTAGTCGGATAATTACTGACCTGCTCTTTCAGTAAAGGTACGCTGGCTCGATAAGTTCCTGCTCGGAAAGCTGAGCAAAGAACTTTCTACGGACAAACTAGGAATTTTAATTGGCGTGATTTTTGTGTGCACACTTCAATTTTGTTATGTATTACATATATATTTATGTACATATCAAATTTTTATAAATTTAATCTTACAATAGGTTTAGATTTTTTATGAAACGTCAATCTACAAAGATTTTAAGATGTTTTCTTGAAAAATAATTTTCAAGAAAAAAGACTCCACAAAAGTTGTAAAATTATAATATTATTGCAAATAATTATTCAAAAAAATCTGATTCAACAATATCAATAAGCTGTACTCATGACTTGTAAAATTGAACTGTTCAAATTATTATAGTTCTAATCGAAAACTTCTAGAATTTGATTAAGAACTCTAGCGTGTTTATTTCATTCTCCTCCAACTTTATCATTAATTTCTAAATCGCAGGATTGTCTTATTAAATGGAAAATATGATTATATAACATAATCTATGCTCTATCTATTATATCATAAATTTACCAAAGTAAAAAAAAGATACTGATAATGCCGATAAATACATTATTCTTCCTTAATGCCTACGATAACGATCTTGATTAAATGTTTTATATATTTTTAGTTACATTTTATTAATGTCGAAAAAATAGTCACTCGTTTATAATCATCTTCATATCGAGTATATTGAAATACCATATACCAAAATAAAAAGATAAAATTAAAATCGTATATAAATATATTTCCCAATACATTTGCATCAAGTGCATTCTATTTTAATCATTATCAATGGCACAAAAATAATTAACGTTATAACTAATGAAGATAAAATCTGACAATTGTTTGCAGTTGGAATTCTCCGAGATGCAATCCTAACTAAAGGAAATAATTGACAAAATTGATGACTCAAGTTCTGTTTATTATCACACTTACCGGAAACTTGCTGCTGTGAGTCTGTAAACTGGCCGCCTGTTGAGCCTGACCCGAACTCTGCTCCTCCCCGTACAAGGGTGGCATTCTGTATTCCGGCGCAAAGGGCTGCCCGGCCGCGCTTCGAACTTGCCCGTTCTCCGCGACGCTGGTCCTTTCCGGACCGGAAGTCGTTCGCAACGATGAACGCTCGACTACCGTCTGTTCCCGTTGCTCGTCCTGCTGACCATTCTGATTGTTCTTCTGATTGTGCGACACCGGCTTCGGCGGTGGCACTGGCTTGTAAGGTCCTTCTTCATCTGCAATAAAAAATATATCATTTGAGAATATATAAATGTATAATGTATTATATAAATATATATAGAATATATAAATACAAATTATATATATAAGTATATAAAATTATATATATAAATTATATTTATATATATAATTTGAGAATATATTCATTAATTCTTTTAAAAAAATTTAATATGTTTTTTTAATGAAATTTTTCATTAAAGAGTAATAATTATAATTACTTTTTTTAATAAAATCGGTAAAGTGGTTTAAATAAATAAATATATTTAAAAAAAAACATCATACTTATATATTTATTTCATCATCTCACAGCGACGTAGCATAAAATATCGATCTGTGTCTGACGTGAAAGTGTTAAACAATTCAAACTTATTCAAACGAATTATCTATTTCAGAAATGTATTATACATAGTGCTATGTATTATACATAAGTACGCTGAAAACTACAAGATTATTTTATATTCATTAACTATAAAACATAAGTTTAAGCCCTCTATTAAGAACGATGAAAATTTTGTGCGATATTTACATAAGCTAGCCATTTAGTTGATAAAATATTAAACTGTATAAAACACGTAAATATTAAATTTCGCTACAAAGCAAAAGGTACGATTATTGCACGTTAATTAAAATTTTTGCTTATATTTATTATTTTAATTTCTTTTTTCGCTTTACTAGACTTACACATTAAAGAATCAAGCATAGTATAATATTTTCAACGCAATAATAAAACGATCATAATATAGTCAGTTGCGCGTATTCACATTACGTTATATTAATGTCATATAATATTGCTGCAACATCCTAATTACACTGCGTTAATTTTGCAGAAGATGCAACCGTGTGATATACATGTTTCTACGTAACTAGATCATGACTAAGACTTATATCATCAGGATCCAAAGAAAAATGAACAAAATAATTGAAATAAAAAATAAAATCATTTACGCAAGCTTTTTTTCTACTGAGTTCTATTTATCAATAATTCAATTTAATAAAATAATAATTTATATTTATGTTTATATATTAATTAAAATTTTATTTTGAAATACATATGGGATTTATTTTATAAATCAGAAATAAATATTTCGAATTTGTATTTCTCATTAAACATTTCAATTATCAACTAAAATAATTTTTCTCTTATTATGTGAGCAGTAAAATATTTGCAGAAATATTATTTTTTTATAAATTTGTGTTTATTTTATTTGTCTCTCTTTTACAGCTTTCACCTCTGAAATCTGTTTTCATATATTTTATTAAATTATATTAATTTCGTAAAGTTAAATAATGCTACACATTTCTATTTTATCATTTTCTAATTATGTTTTTATTATTATAAGTAACATTTTCAATACAACAAATAAATAAAATAAATAATACAAGTTTAACATAGCTTTAGATATATATTTTTATATATTTTAAATGCATTGTATTATGTATTTCTTTCTGTTTCTCTTTCATATCTTTCCTCTTAAAATTTATTATTTTAATAAATGATTTTACTGCATCATAAATATTTTGTGTTTAATATTTCTGTAGCTTTCTGTTACAGTCTTTCAAAAAATAAATGTTTAAATATTTTATTGAAAAACAAAATATATATTATTCAAATAGGTATTAAAATGATCTGCATTTCTCAAATATGTATTGTAAGTTATTTGGATAGGCGTGTTTCAGGAACGCCTGTTGTTCATTAAGTACCGCTTACGTATTTATGTACCTTGACTCTGATTCTGCCGCCTGAGACGATTCTCCTGCTTAACTTTGCGGACGGTAGTGGCCATCGCGTGTTGGCTGACCATCTCTGACGAATACTTTCACGAATGCACTTCGAGTCCCTTGTTCTCACTCTAGATGGTCCCCCAAAGAAAGCTAACGATAGTGACAGCTTTCGAGTCTCTTTAATTCGATGCGAGTTTTTTTCGGATAATATGCACTCTTCGAGAGGTTTCTCGCGCTCATCGATTACTATAATCGGTCTACGATCTAAGGTTTAAAATGAGTCCCTTTGGAAAATATAAATATATTGATATCACGAGAAAAAAATGTGCGGATGACGACTCAGACTTGAGTAAAGACCACCCAAGACGTGATTCAAATTAAATGTCCCTTTTGTCTCACGCTAGCAAATTTATTGTTTTACACGAGGAAGAGATTTGAGGATGACCAGCACTTTATAAAATTACAAAGCTCATTAATTTGTACCACACGTTTCAAAATAATATTTCTAGCCGATTTCTTGCACGCAGAAGACACTTTTTCTCATTAAAGTGCATTAATTTAAGTCGTTGATGTTCTTTCTACGATTGATGCACAAAACAGTATCATTTTAATTAAAGAAACGCAGACCGATAATATAATGAATTAAAACGTGCGCTGTTTTGTGCATTACAAGTTGCGTTAACCCCACGAGGAATTGGGTTAATTAGCATTCTTCGCGAGATGGACTTCCGTTTCGCAGACAACTCTTTGTCTCACCCACGAAAATCACACATAGACCTTTTTTTCCCAAAGGCTGTCATCATCTTGTCACTTTCACGCGAAAATGCTTATTGTTTGGCGTAGTGAAAACTCCTATTTTTCATGCAGTTGCGCACGAAAAGAAAACGCATTTGAAGTCGCCTGTGTGTTAGAATCTGTAGAACAACTTTCCTCTCCAGGTTTTATTTTCTCTATAAAAGTTCGCGCGTACGAATCTAAGTTTCTTAGACGTATTTACTTTGACGGGAAGAATTTCGAAACAAAATGCGCGTCGATCATTTTCTCTTCGATATCTTACAAATGACAACTCCAAAATAATTTATCACAAATACGCGTTGACGTTTTTTAAATTTCCGCGCCCCGTTTCCGAAATGGAAGGTAATGTACAATGTCAGCCGCAAATTTATCGTACCCTTTCTTCTTCGCAGAAAGAAAACTTTTTCTTTGTCATAGCTTAATGGCAAGCTTCCTCGAGCGATCTCTTTCTTTTTTTCTCTCTTTCTCTCTGTCTCTCTCTCTCTCGACGTTCTTGTAATATCCAGTACGATCCAATTTATTCAACCGCTGCCTTGATTACTCGACGATGTTATTTGCTGCTCCCCGAGACTTCCGGTGCTTCACAATAAAACGTAGTTTACTTGTGACGTTAATGCAACCCCAAATAAATGTTTCCCCTACATTTTTTTATTCTTCATTAACTTAGTCGCGCATATTTACGTCCTTCCTATTTGATTGATCTACATAATCCACTTTAAACTTATCATTTGATTAAATCGATTTGGATTTTCCTCAATTAGAATCCCCAATTAACATTCACTTACTCTTCCGTCAGATCCACAATAAGCTTCCAATTTCTCAGTTTCTCATTCATCGATCTCGATAAGAAGTCCATCAGTCAACGGCGTCAAATTAAATCAACGACAAATCGAATCAAACCAATGGTCCATCTATCTCCTCTAATTCATTCCCCTAATTCAATCAGTTCCACGTTATTGCCCCTGAATCCTCGGAGTTCTTGTTCTCCTCTTCATGATCTTTCTTCCCGCGCACTGACAGATAGATCCAACAATGAACACCTGAATATTAACACCCCAAGTTTTTGTCGTCGAACGTTCAGTCAACTTTCTTCTCGAAAACGTCGCACTTTCAACCTCGGATTTCCTTCTCGAGGAGAGACGCGCTACGCGCGGTTTTCCTCGCGCAAGCTGCTCGCGCGTGACTCGCGTTCACGCGAATGCCGAGCCGAGCTCGCCGGTCGAAGGAAGCGGATTTTCCTTCCTTCGCGCTGGAACGAGCGACGCGTGCGAGCGTGTATCGCCACCTCTTTTAGAGAGCGGCCACGCTTGCCGGCGGAGCTCGAACTTTCCATTGAGTGAACGTCTGGTTCCGCCGTTCTGGCTTCACTTCCGGTATCGTCCCACCACGAGGAGTCATTATAGACGCCTTGACGGTGGGAGAGATAGAGATGGAGAGAGAGAGAGCAAGACGACGAGTGGAGATAGAGATGGACGAACGGCTACTCGAGGAGCGATTGAGAGAGAAAGAAGAAACAGACCTCCCGACTTACAGGGATAATTTATTCCGCGCTCATACACGCTCGGGCTCGGCGACGCGCATCCGACGAATATCAAGCTGCTCTTCGTCAGTACTGCGATCTCTCTCGATTACCGATCGTTAGATCCGGAGAGAACGCATGAACTCACGTCCTCGATGAATTTTTGTTTTTCTCTCTTGTTTTATTTATTTATTCGTGTCTCTGCAGATTTTTCGAGTGAATAAATCATCCTTTTTTTTTATACACACGTGGGCAGATAAATAATATATGAATTATAATAAAAATATATATGAATATCTTATAGAATTAATCGATACGTATAGTTTTGGTGATATAATATTGGAGTTTTAACTATATCATATTTTTTAAGTAAATAAATAATCCTTTTTTTTTACACATGTAAACGCAGATAAAAATATATATTTAAACCATATCTTACAATTAGAGAATTAATCGATACAAATAGTTTTTGATGATATAATTGGAGTTTCATAACTATGGTTTTCTATAGTCATGCAGATCTAAAGTTTCTTAGTCGGATGTGCCTCGCTATGGTTTAGAGATTAATAAGAGTTTGTGAGAAATTCTCTTATAATCCCTTTTGTGGGCTTAATAACTTAAGAAAGTTATGAAGCGTTAAAAAAGGAGTTGGTGAAGTTTCACACTCTTCGATTTAATTCAGTAATAGTTTATTTGATTCCCAGAATAAAACACGATTGTCAAAGTTTATCTTTTGACACAAAATTATCACCAATTTAATAACTTAATTTATTAAATCAATAAAATAAACGGCTCATGCAAATCCGAACAAGGAGAAATAAAGGGCTAAGAGCCAACGCAAGGTAGTCGTGCGAAAGATCCTGGATTTATTAAAATTGATTGAACGTTTCGGCCTACATTAGGCCATCTTTAGAAATAAATTAATCTAAGATGGTAGCCGAAAACCAAGTTGAGTTTCAACTTTGACCTCACACAACTAACAATAAGTTCGACAACCTGACGGCATATTTCTTTTTAAGAATAATGACATTTTTTTTACAATAATACCATTATTACAATTTAATATTGAAGTGGTTTCAAATTTTAACTTGGCTACTACCTTAGACTGTAATTTATTGTAAAGATGGCTTAATGCAAGCTTAATGAAACGTTCAATTAATTTGAATAAATCCAGGATCTTTCCCACGACTACCTTGCGTTGGCTCTTAATCCTTTATTTCAACTTAATTTATAATTTTCAAAAATAATTTTAGTTACACTATTCTTAATTTACATTTCTTAATTTTTCTCGTTACTAAAACTATTTAGACAAATAGATGCAGAATAATCTATTTCGGTCTCGCGTGTGCATAAAGCGTTCAAAATATTCAAACGTTAAATAAATCGTTTAGAGATATTTTGAAAATTTACTAAATAACATTTGTTCAGGATAAATTTTACGAGAAAATTAAGTCGCACAGAATTAAAATCGTCATTAAAATCGTGATTAATATATATATCTGTCTTCTACTCTCGCAGCCCTGATTCGACGAAACTCGCGGCGCAATCACGAACGACAATTTGGCCGACAAACAAGTTTGTATCCAGCATCACGGGACAAATTATGGTCCGTAATTCGATGAGAGAGAAGGAGGAAAAGTCCACGTACGCGTCGTCCAATTCGCTTCACGGTTCGGCGAGATTTTCACCGCTGGTAATAACACGTTTGCGGCGCGCATTGGGAAGCCGAGAAAAAAGACGCGGTTGAAACGCAGATTAGTGATACTGTCAATTGGATAGAGACTCATTATCGGGGGATATAGGGCACGGCGAAGATGCGAAAAAAAAAATCGAACGGATTTTGTGCCGTTGCGATGACCGAAGAAAAGCCAAGCCTGAGCGAAGCTGAAAGAGCTCGATCTACTCGCTTTTAATTTCTATCTCGATATCAGACTCTGTATACGACTCTCGAGTACGTTGATCGTCATTTTGCCGTGTGAGGCAGCCTAGAAAAAATTCCCATCACACGCTTGATACATTTCTAATACAGGTCGGAATTTAAATAGATCTCACGGTCGCGAGCCATTCGAGGTTTTCAATTAGAGATAGCAGATTTTAATTAGTAGCTCTATCAACACTAAGCCAGCTTCTGTCATTCTTGTAAAGAAGCGCTGCTATCCATCAATCAGTGTTCATAAAAAAAAATTAGTGAGGCTGATTGAGATTGATCTTGTTCTTGATGATCAACATAACGTGTTGATAGTCGACGTAAGATGTAGAGTAATTAAAATAATTTCACTGTATAATTTCTTAATTGTAATTTAAGAAAGTGTAACAGTTACGTCTTTCCAGTAAAAGTTATTGCTAATGTAAAATCACGGCGTAGATTCATCCACTTGCTAATCTATCCGTCACTTTTAACCCGTCGACGTCGTGATGGATCATCGCCTCAACGGCGAGATTACTATCTTATTCCTTCTTAGCGCTTCCAATCGATCAACGAATATATAGGAATTTGCGGGTCTTTATTGACAAACCGTGAATTTTATCCACTCACTTATTGCGATTCCGAGATACAAATTTTTTCGAAATTTCCTTCCACTTGAAAATGTTTCGCGCCACGTTCGATCCGGGAGCTATAATTAGATCCATTGATTTTTGCATTTAACGTGAACTCGAGCCAACCTAGCAGCAAGCGTTCCCAAATAGGGGACGGAATCGTAAAATCGATGACAAAACGCGTCCGCGGTCAGCTGCTGCTGCATGCTGGGAATCGATTAACGCGCGCAGAATGTCGTCGATTGTATCGAAGGGTTGATATCGCGCGCGCGTTTCGATCGTTTCCTATTTTCTCGTTTCCTCGGATTTTTTCCTCGACGAACCCGTTTCTCCACAAACGCGATTCAGCCCAGCGAGTGGCGGATCCACTCGAGCCGATATCCACATCCGTGCTTGTCGATCCGGGATTTTTAACGAGCCCCTTTCGCGGCCGGCTTGATGACCGGCTCATCCACTATCGATTTCTGCTATCGAGCCTGATTATATTCGCGCGAAGGTGCGTGAGGAACGCGCTTGAAAATTATACATAAGGGCTATAGGAAATATTATTCTTAAAGAGAGTCCGGTGAAGAGAACTCTGACGGTAGTTGCGATATAACGTCAATGTATAATTACATATATAATATCAATTTCTTATCATAGTGCACTGAAAAGAAATTTCTTCACTTTTGACTAAATCTTTCAACTAAATATTATTTTGTTGATTGAACATATAACAATATTTAAAGTAAATATGACGTATTTAATCTAACAAAACATATACATTTGACTTAAATACTATACACTATTAATATATAAATTAATACACTATTAATATATGAATTAAATATTAATATGTTCAATTGACAAAATAGTAATTTTTAGTTGAAAGATTTAGTCAAGTTAACCAATTTTTTAGTGTGGTCATTTACCATAATGGTCATCAGAATTATTGAACTACTAATAGTTTATGATAAAAAGAAAGTTATAATAAATTGAAAAATAAGTATAATATGTAATAATCGAGCTTTTTCATTGAAGAACAAGTTTCATTGATTCAAATTTAAAAAGCACTATTTTTTAATACCTCAAATTACCTTCATTTTTTAAAATATATGATTTTATTTTTCGTAATAAAATTGATTCAAAATAGCGTTATATATATAATTATATTTATTTTAATACTATCTACATTATGTTAAAAAATCACATATTATTTTTTTTTTTTTTAAATAAAGGCAATTGTTTGAAATTTTATTAAAATGCGTATATCTTTATTCTTTAAGTTATAAAAATAATTAATTTCTTATTTATAATTTTTATTTAATCAAACTTGAAAATAAAGTAATAGCGATTATTTAAATATCTTGCTTGTATTAATAAAACTATTCTGTATAAATATATCAAATTATAAGTCATATTTTTTCATTCATAAATCGTTTAGTAAGATCGAAACTAGTAATTTTCTCTAGCAATTTTTAATTTTTAATTGCCACCGCTAACATGGTTTACATTCAGAATTTCCACATAAATATATGCTTGTATGATATTTTACGATATAACGCGATGCATTATGCTTTCAATATAAATTACGAAAACATTATATCGTTATAAGGACAGGAGATTGTTTAGTTTCCCATGAATAATAACACTGTATTATATATTATGCATTCCTTATATAGCCTCCATAGTGCTGTTATTTCTCCATTTTCCCCACAAGTTTCGTTGTTTGTATTTCATTGCGGAAAAAGTTAATAATTATTGCAGAATATTCATATTGTAATTTTCTTTGGAACGCAAATAGTGTTATCAGAGTGCCTAAGGTCTACAAATTTTTCAATTAATTTAAAATCCATTTTCCCTTAACAAAAATATTTAACAATTAATCAATTTATATATAAGCAATTAAAAATACAAATATTTAGAGAGAGAATTTGTTAAAAAAATGTTTGCAGATACTCATACACCTAACACAATAAAGATATAGAAATCTAAAGATGAAAGATAGCGATTTACGTGAAACTGCATTGAGGAAGCAATAATTCAAGATAGATTACAGAATTCACAAATAAAAGACGAGTCGATACAAGAATACGCTCTCGGGTGCAACGCATCGCTTAAAACAATAAATTTTGCATTTCTCACGGTTCTCGATTTGCTAACGCATGATTAAAGACGCGATTAATGATATCTAGATCTTAACTTGATTTTACAAGCATCCCTTCCGTTGATACTGCCGTTAGTTTCACACCGTATC